GAGGAGGGAGGGGGCGGGGCGTGCCTGGCGACGAAGAGGCAGAGCAGCGCCGGGCGGTCCGGGCCGGCCAGCAGCACCAGGAGGCTGAGGCCCAGCTTGAGCAGGAAGAGGCCGCGCACCACGGCATAGACGCCCCAGCGCTGGCACAGCGGCAGGAAGCAGAGGTTGTTGAGGTGCGGAGCCACGTAGGAGATGCCTGGGGGGCACGCGTGTCAGGGCGCCCCGCCACAGCGGCCGCGCCTTTTGGCAGCCGGTGGTCTTCACGGCGCGCTGGGGACGCGCGGACAGCCTCATCCCCTTTCTTTCCAGTTGGGGTCTCGCTCTGCCGCCCAGGCTGGAGGGCCGTGGCACAATCACAGCCGAGCCTCCTGAGCAGCTGGGACTGCAGGCCCAAGCCACCAAGCCCAGCCAACTTTTTTGACTTTGGGTGGAGATGAGGTCTTGCTACGTGACCGCAGCCGGCCCCCACCTCCTGGGCTCAAGCAATCCTCCTGCCTCCTCGGCTTCCCAAGTGCTGGGATTACAGGTGTGAGCCACCACGCCCGGCCGGTCACGCTCTTTTCTTTCGTCCCACCAGGCTTGGCGCGAGCACAAAAACTATCCCATGTCTCAAGCAAGGGGGATGCCCAAAGGGACAAAGTCACAGGCCCACAGCCAGCCACCAGTGAGTGGAATCAAGGCTCACCCAGGCCCCACCCGTGACTGGCCTGCTGCAGCAGCCACCGCCCACACAGCCTCGGGACGTGCCTGTCACCACCCCCTGCCCTCACCCTTCCAAGGAAAGCAGAGCTGGAGCTGGAGGAGCAGCCCTCTCAGCCCCGCCCTGCCCTCTGCCACCTGCCCCCACAGGAGGGGCCCTGCCGCACGGGCCAGGGGCACCCTCTGGCCTGCTGGCCCCGCTCACCCAGCAGGATGGAGCCCGTGGACGGCGCGATGTGGTCCGCCAGCAGATGCTCCAGGAAGAGTGGGAAGAAGTTGCTGTTGAAATGGCAGTGGAAGACCTACAACCGGCAGGTCGTGAGGACGCTGCGCCCGGGGCACGTGCCCGCCCGCGGGGCCCTAGGGCTCCGGCCCCTGTCCCCCATCCACACGCCAGGACAAGCCCTAAAGCCACACTCCTGCACTTCTCTAACTTTGATGAGAGTTAGAAGGCAGGATGACACGGCGCTGTAGCAAGGGGAAGCTTCCGGCCAGTGAAAACCTTAGCAAAACAAGTTTCCTGACACAGCACGGCCCACCTCTACATGTGGCGAGCATGGGTTTTAGGTGTGGCACTGGTGCTTTCAAAGGGTTGTCACAAAGTCCCCAAAGGGGGCACCCCTCTTTGCGCAGCTGAGGACGTGGCTGCCCAGAGAGCCCGAGGCCAGCCTGAGGTTGTAGGGGCAGGGCGCTCAGAGGGTGCCGGGATGAGGCTCAGCACTGGGACCCGGGCTCCTAACCGCCCAGAGGACGCTGAGCTTGGGCTCAGTCCTGGGACCAGGCTCCTAACCGCCCAGAGGACATTAGGATCTGGGCTCAGTGCTGGGACCAGGCTCCCAACTGCCCAAATGTTGGGAGCCAGCCACAGAGGCCCACTGAGTGTTAGGGATCAGGAAGGGCCGTTGAGCCCGAGACCACTAGGATGCGTTCAGGAGCTACTGACCCCATTTCCTCCCCCTTTCTACTCAGCACTAACCAGATTAAGCTCCT